ACAGACCTTGCACATTATGAGATCGCTAAATACCAATATTAAAATATGGAGGTATGTAAAAGGTCTTTTCTTAAAAGAGAAATATTGCAAATAATATTTTATTTATTGCAGAAATAAAGAAACAATAGGAATTGACAGCCCTACATTTTACTTTTTTACCAAAATAACTTAAATGTTAAGTTGCAATGGAAATATATATAATTAGGGCAAGGAAAAATGTTATTATATTTACAAGTTACAGAACCATGTAAATATACTTGCACGGTAATATTGAGAAAAAAAAAACAGACATAATTATAATGCTACAAATGTACATGTTTAAGAACCAGTATATGTAAAAAAAACTTAGCACAGTGAAAATAAACAATAATTTAAGAGCTGTCTTGGTTTAAATGAGATATATATTGAGAAAAAATAATAAATATATTATTATGAATAATGTCAGTTAATTCTGACGAAACGTGAAAACATTACCAAGTATATTTCCTTGCTAGCCTAGGCCCTGGCCTATGCTAGCTCGATTACAAAATAAATAATAAAATCGTTCGCAAATAATAGGCCTCATAGGCTACGACCCTACCCTACCTAGAGACCTAGGGCCTAGGTCCAGCCCGAAAAAGTACACCGATCCCGCCGCCAGGCAGTATCATGAGCATGTGGTGAAAACAAGGGTGAATTTTCTAACTTCTTAAATTTCGTGATTTCTTCGTTGCTGGCCTTGAAGCAAAAAAATCCGTTATCCTTTCTCGGCGCTTCATCCTCCTCCTAGGCTATTTTTGGCGTGTCGCATGTCCTCGATCCCAGAGAAATGAAAAATGTCGAGCGCCCAAACTTTTGTGATGACGTCGTGCCAAAGTAAATAAACTAAGGAGCACGCGACTGGTCAAATAGCTTAGGCAACAAACCTCTCATTAATATTCATTTTGAAGTCTTGCTGGTTACGTCATTCAGTTAGCTGCAGCTTTGTTTTGATTTCTACGATCGGACTACGAACGATAGCGACAAATAAACAGTGCCAAAAATGCACCTATTTTGTAATAAATTGCACTATTTTGGAAACGGGGGATCGTTTTCTGGTTAAGGGGGTTCGCTGGCAAAAGGGGGGTTCGCCCGAACCCCTAAAAACCCCCCTGGCTACGGGCCTGAATTCCGTGTGTATTCGTTCATCAATAGAAGTCTCTCGTAATGCACGTACAGTAAGTGCTACCCTTCACTCCCCCATAGACAGTAGCGTAGCTAGAGGTTTTAGCGCCCGAGAGAGCAGAAAATTGCACCCC